CTAACTAATAAGACTGCCATGGGAGTTTGAAAACCTTGCTAAAGTCCAGGTATAGTGTCCACTGCTCTTCCCCTATCCATAGTGCCAGTCACCTTGACGTAGAATAAAATCAGGTTGGTTAAGAATGACTTGCTGTGAGTCAGTGTTGGCTGTTCCTGGTCATTTTGTTATTCTTTGGGCACTTAGAAATTTTTTCTTTTATGTGCTCCATAAGCTTACTACCACTGAGGTTGTGCTGACTGATCTGTAATCCCTTGCTTCCCTTTTAAATGGATGTACACTGTATTTGTCCCGTTTTTTCCCCAGTAAGCATGCAAGTGGTAGAAAGATCCTTCTTGTTCTCAGTGGGATCATGATTTTTGGTTTGCAAAGCACGACTGGTGGTTTTTGAACTGTCACGTTTTGAACAGAATCTCTTGGTGGACCAGCCGCACAGGCTGTGGTCTAGTGCCTGAGTGGTCTCTCAGACTCCTTCCTGAAGAACATCTTCGCAAATAGGGATTCCCAAAAGTATGCAGCAGACTAAAGTAAACTGTAGTGACTGTCTTATTGCAGAGATGGCATGAGCCCATTCTTATTGACACACATACCTTCGTCATTCTTTGGATAATGAAGCTAATGGCTGCCTTTCGCCATGTTACCAGTAGTCCTGAAGCAACTTAGGTTGGGTGTAAGATGCATGGTTATGATGGCCCTCCTTCCATTTCTCCCCATCTTGGGGTAGCCAGTTCTCCCGTTTGGATTTCTTGAATTCAACATTGGCCCTAATTGTCTTACCCTCTGTAGATATGTTGACTTCCCAGTTGTCTTTCCTAAATCTCACTAAACCCTGACAGAATAAGGTTTTACATGCTGAATTTAGATGGGCTTAAATCTTACAGGAACACACCCAGATCAGCAGCAGCTTCTTGATTTAAGGGGAGCCCTGTATATTCATAGAGGAGCTTTCTGTGGACCTTAAAGTGTATCAGGTGTTAACAAGGTCAGAGCTTGTTCCACTGGGTCTCAAATGGCGTCTGCTGATCTATCTTGTATTTAAAACTGTAGAGCACCAATGTGGAGCTTCATCCACATATTAAGAAAATCATTATGAAATGTGCTGGCTTTTCTAGGACTCTCCTGAAGCTCTTATTTAAGTAGGATTCATATTGCCCACATTCATACAATTAAATAACTACTTATTAAGCATCAAAAATGAAACAGTTTGGACAAGCCTTTGGGGGAAAAAAATGAATGGTTGCTTAAGGTAGGGCCAGACAGCAAAATTACTCCAAGGCAAGTAGGGGAGGAATCTTGCCACACTGTGCAGTAACTGTTTTTGTATCTGCCTATCCCACAGTATGAGAGCTACCATACTTACTTAAATAAAAGGTTATAAGATGACCGCCCCAATTATAAGTTTTCCATATATAGAATCTAATTAATTTGGTATAATTTTCCAGGTATAGAATCTTATCATTGGAATTTTGCCTTGAATTTGTTCCCTTCCCACTGCCATCGCAGGGAAAATAAATCTGAGGGGTCAGGTAGCTTCCCCCCAACTTTTCTCCCAGGCAGTCTCTTTTCCTTTTCTTTACTGTTGGACCCTGCTCTACCTGAGCACATGAAAGTGAGGAGCAAATTTTGAAAATAATAACTTTGAAATTAAACACATCTGTAGCCATTCACACATAGAACCTATTGATTTAAGTTCATCCAGAATTGATGCATGTTATTTTATTTTTTTTAACTGCTGCAAGTTTTAATATAGGTACTCCATAAATACACTTTTGAGTAGCACTTCGGCAACTAGTTGTATGTAGTAGAAACTGTGTATAATATTAATCCAAAACCAAAAGGCTAATGACTTACCACATAGTTCATTGGACTGGGCCCCAGCAGAGTCAGAGTTTCAAGCCATAGTGACACCACAGTTCAGCTCTGCTCAGGTGTGGGTGTATGCTCCAGATGCCTTCTCCTGCCCGTGGCGCGCGCACCCCCCCCTTCCCCCCCCACCGGAAAAAAAAAGGATCCATGTGCTAATTATCTCCCCCGGGTGTTCCTGTCATGAGTCCTGGGATGCTCCAAAAATGTATATGCGGATGAGGCAGCCTGGTCCACCTTCACCTCATGGAGGGCAGGGCTACACTAATCATATGTATCTGGCTGAGAGAGGGGGTAACAGAGGGATTCTGGGTGAACTGTATGCAGTGTTGTGGCTCATCATGACAAGAGTTGGCGATGAGGGGGACTGCACTTAATGGGTACTAAGATATGTTTTATTTGGAGGGCTGCCCTATCCTATTCTTGTGGTAGGTTCCCATCAGCATGTTTGCTCAATGTGGGCTATGTGTTATAGTCATTCTCAGCGTTGGCTGTGTTTAATCAACTTCATAGTTGGTTTTGCATTGCTGAGCACATGCTGCTTTTGGCAGCAGTTTAAAGATAGGCAAAGTATTCAGTGAGATTTCCTTGTATGCAATCATAAGATGAGGGGCTCCTTCCCCCATTGGCATGGGGGAATGAGGGACCTTGTCTTGTATTTGAGTAAATATGGTAAATTGAGACCTCTCTGAATGGAACAGGGCTAAGCTAAACTGCCCTACTGGGACACGTGTATGCCAGGGGTGGAATCTGGGTATTCAGCAATCTAGAAAAAATTGCAGTTGCTATAGGATTAAATAGTTGTTCTTTCCTCTGGCTGCAGATCTAGGATAGTGGTTTTCCAACTGTAGTCTGTGGGCCCCTAGGGGCCCACAGACTGTGTCTTAAGGAGTCTGTAAAAGATGACTCAATCAAAAGTGTGTGATTTTAGGGGTGCACCGATATATCAGTTGACTATCAGATTAGCACTGATAAAAGTGATACGTTATCGGCTTTTTTGGTCATTGTAGCTGATAGTTACAGTCGCGTACCGAGGGCACCCTGGTGAGCATGGCCTTATTCCCGTGCCATGCTGCCAGCCCCAGCCCATGTCAGACTACAGGTCCTGGTGAGCAACAGGAGTGGGAGGGGCACCAGGGAGCAGTCACAGGGGCTGCACCCAGCAACAAAGGGATTGTTATAGGCTTCTGCTACTGCTGTCGTCACGATGCTGCACACACACAGCATGGACTTGAATGCTGGGGCTGCCACAGAGACTTTAGTCTGTGCACAGTTGGAGTAAGGTGCCACACAAGGGACATTTCACTGTGCTAGGCACCTCTGCAAAAGCAGCTCCTCCCCAGTGGCTGCAGGAGCTCAGCTGCACTGGGCCCACTGGCACTAAGGCAGCAGCATGCTCTGGAGCTCCAAATGCATCTCTCACCGCTGTCTGCAAGGGTCCGCCCCACCCACTTGGGATGGGAGCATGGGCTATATGGGGAGCAGGGTTGTCAGTGGGAGCATGGGTGAGGGGACAATATGCATGGGAATAAGGCAGTCACTGCCTTCCTCATTGAGGGCCAGAGCAGGCAGGAGGTGTGTATCAATAGTTTAAAATGCCTCGCATTATTTCTACATATCAGTTATCGGATCAGCATGGGCTGATATAGTTGGTTGATCATCGGGTATTGGCATCAGCCAAGATGATCTTTATTGGTGTACCCCTAATTTGAATACCCACACTTACTATTCAAAGGGGTGCTCGCCTCCATTTGAAATTTTTTAGGGGTCTGTGAATGAAAAAAGGTGGAAAACACTGATCTAGGATTTTTTCCCCAATTCCTACCCCTTTTGTGTGAGCTGAGTGTCAACAACAGGATTTTCTTCAAAATGATTAATCTTTTAGCCAGAAAACACATTTTGTAACAAAGAAATAAACTTGTCTCCTTTCCCCTCTTACACAGACATTTTTCTCCTTTGACTGTTTGTATAGAATAATGGTGGTTGAGTAGCTGTTTTTATGAAACTAGCTAATCGGTTATAGCTCTGAGTCCTTGCTTAAGGTCAGTGCTGCTTTTAACAGCTTTTTATTCACCATTGCTAAAATAGATGAGATGTAACAATGATTCATTAAGCACTTTTTAATAGTTTTAAGTGGGCAGCATAATCTAGCTACTTTTTTCCTACGTATTGTTTGGGGAAAAAAAAAACGTTAACGTGTCATATTTGTCCACTTCGAAGCTTTTTCTGCCAATTGTTTAAGAGATGTATTTTTTTTTATTTGACCCATCGTATGTGTTAGTATTACATAACATGCTTATGGATAGTCATTGTACAAGCACATTAAGAGTAAAGAACATTGCTGTTTGTTAGACCTTCAGATCTTTGACTGGTTTTATAACAAAGTATAAAAAGGCAATTTGTACTTGCAAGATCACTGTGCAGTTTTTAAAGGCATCATTTTTTTCTGTCAAAGATAAGCATATTGTTCTGTTATTGTAGTATCTGAGTGCTTCAGTATCTGTAATGAATTTCTCTTCATAACACCCTTGTGCAATGGAGAAGTGCTTTTATCCCCATTTTACAGCTAGGGAACTGGAACAGTGTTTTGTTTTGTTTTGTTTTTTAAGTGACTTGCCCAAGTATGTCTATGGCAGAGCAAAGAAGCTGAATCCACATCTCCTGAGTCTCAAACTGATGTCTAGTCTAGGACTATTCTTCCTAAAATAGCTGAGCAATAGTGACTGTTTTGTGCACAATATATAGGTACATTGTAAGGGAGAACATTATGTGCTTTCAGGGCATTAAAGAGTTGAATTGAGAGACTTTAAAGTCACAGAATTGCATGAAGTATCACCTGTGCTTCTGCCTTTTGGACTTAAAAACAACAACAAAAGGTTTGGATGTGACCTTGCCCAATACAACACTACGTGATCAGACAGCCAGATCGGTGATTTGTAATGTTATGGAAAGATCATCACACATCTGTTTACTAGTTGGTATCAAAGTTTGATGAAAGACCAGTGAGTGTATTGCTATGAGGTACTTTGTTAAGGAAACATTATTTGGGTTTGAAGTGTGTCAGTCCCAGTCACTCTTTAACATACAAATTCTTTCGTTCTTTTTTCTTTTTTTCTTTTTTTCTTTTTTTTTTACAGAGCTTTCTGGGGTGCTGCATCAGTGTCACGTTCTGGCATCAGAAATGGTCCATTTCATTCATCAAATGCAGTATTACATTACATTTGAGGTACACTTTTTGCATCCAACTTGTTAATACTGTAGTTGTACAGGCAGTACTCGGACTTACAACACAATTGGTTCCTGAAAACTGCGTCTTAAGTCGAAACGTAACTCGGAACCAATTTTCTCATTAAAAAAAATGTTATAAATGGAGGATTGGTTCCCGAACCAAGGCCCAATACCCTATTTTCACTAAAAATACCCCAGTATTTTGTACTTCAATCAATTATAGGTAAGTAATAGCTACATTAATGTATTTATATTGTAAATAGCAATCACATTGATTTGGAAGGACTTCTCTGAGGTGACTTTGCTGGACTTTTTGAAGGGTTCTTGGCTGGAGTCTTCTCAGGAGTCTTGGCTGCAGGTTTTTCTGGAGTCTTGTCGGCCTTCTTGAAGTGTCCAAGGAAGTTTGGACAGATGTTCTCCAGGCAGATGAGTGACGCAGCAAACTTGTTTGCTAGTGTGGTGTCATATTGGATCAAGCATTGTAAAGTTGAAACTGACATCATAAAGTTGAAACAGGGTGTCAATTTATAAATATTGCAAGTGTGAAACTTTGTAACTTAAAATGTTGTAAGTCGAGGACTGCCTGTATATAATTCCCAAGACGTTACTTGTCAAATTTTGAAAGTATTTAATCTAGTAAATAAAAACAGCCCAATCCTGAATTGTTGTCCCCAGATACTTGAATGTTCATGGGATGAGCTCTGGAATAAGGTCCAGCAAGCACAAGACTTGGATCACATCATCGCTGCTCATGAAGTTTTCTTGGACACAATCATCACACGCTGTTTGTTAGACAGTGACTCCAGAGTAAGCCTTTCCTTTTGTATAAAAATGCAGCTTTGATCCTAGCTTATACTTAAATGACTGAGGTAATATATTATAGAGTACTTGGAAGCTCTCCCACTGGTAGCAAGGCCCTATTGTGCCACATGTTGAGCAAAATCCCTACACTCTATGTAGCTACCCCTTTCTGCAAGTGATTTGCTTCATTCATGTGAGTTTACCTGCCAGCTCTTGGCTGATGACTCAAACCTGTCACTCCATTCCAAACGTGTCTTGGTCTGTTCTCCTATGCATCTTAGCCTGTTCTTTTATTCCTCATCTCCAAGATGTTTTGCTCTCCACTTCAATTTTGGCTTGTTAAAAGTGTAACACCTTGCCCCTACCCTTTCTGTATCATGGATTACACCTGTATCATTTCCCTGTGTACTGATGCCAGATTCTGTTGCACATTTGTCTCCAACAAGAATATTCACAGTCTTTCAAGTCGCCCTATGTGTGACAATGCCCTCGCCAGATTAGATTGATGTCCCCCCTTCAAATATCTCCTGAAGAATCAGTTTTACCATGATGCTCATGGGGAAACTACCAGCAGGTAAATGCTCAGTAAATGGCAAGTAGGGATTGTAACATTTTCTTACTTTCTGACCTGTGTAAAAGTGTGTTCTCATGACCATGTCCCTCCTCTCTTCTTCCCTGTTCACTCCAGCTGTTCAACCCACCTACATTTGCTGCTTGATCAAATTGCAGACACATTGGGGTGGATTTTCTGTAGCACTTAACACACTGGGGGCCTCCAGGAACTACTGTAATACAAATAATTACTATTTCTTGGATGGTCCAATTAGCCACAAAAACTCCTTTTTGAATTGGGGAAAGGCAATACCAGAGCAAAACCCTTATTGTTAGAAATGAAGTTCTTTCACTCAACCATACGGCTGCTCCTACCTGGTAAGAATTAAATAGAATCTCGTGGGAGATTTAGGAGGGACTGCAAAACAGTGCCTTCCTCCAACATATGTTTGAGGAGCAACCTTATTATTTTGGGCCTGTGGAGGGATTATAGCCCACCTGTTTTATTCTACTTCCCTTCTTCCCATCTCAACTCTGGGGATAATCATCAGTGAGAATATTGGGTTCCTTTTGCTTGCAGTTGGGGTGGCCATGCAGGTACAGTAGGGTGTATTGCAATTGCATCAAAACAGGTTGGTTTATTTTGATTTTAGTAAGCAGCATATTAATGTTATGCCTGAACCTGGACCTTCTGTGTGCCTGTAACTCCAAGTGTATTGATATGTTTCTGGTGAATATCAGGAAATGTAGTGATACCGTTTTATACAGAGTTCCCTTTCTTTGCATTATCCTTGTTTATGAACCTCTCGCAGGTACTCCTCAACCAGCTTCGAGCTGTATTTGATCAAATCATTGAACTTCAGAATGCTCAAGATACAATGTACAGAGCTGCTTTGGAGGAGCTGCAACTAAGGTTGCAATTTGAAGAGAAAAAGAAACAGCGTGAACTTGAGGTACAGTAAGGTTGGCAGTGGATTGTAGCAGTTATTTGAGATGGGTGGAAGAGCAATATATATTTCAATTTATAACAAACCTCTGTTTTATTTTTTAAAAATATCTTTGTCTTTGAAACTTTAAAAAAAGGAAAAAAAAAAAGAAAAGAAAAGGCCGGAGCAAAAGTAAAACCCAGCAGCTTCCATGTACCTAAGCAGCAAGAGATAAGAAATACAAGCAAAATCCACTATGCCTTCTAAATAGCTTTTTATGGTCATTTCTCTCCAAAGTGTTGATAAATATATCTTGCAATGTGTCTTAAAGGCAAATTTAAATTTTTCACTGTTTTAGTGTGAAGAATAGAATTTGTAAGGCTCTAAGCCTCTCGCAGGAAATTTTATTTCTAAAGCTCGGGTCCTCTTCCTTGACCCCAATATGCTTGTATTTGGAAGAGGTAGCAGTAGAAAGGAATCGGCCTATTTCTAAACAAAGCAAACATTATGGAATTTTTATCTGGTTATCTGAGTTATAAAGCCATCCTTGCTAGGTATCTCATAACTTGTCATCTAAAGGGAATGGTCATTAACATCACTTTTAAAACCTTTGTTTACTGTCTAACCATTGAGGTAAATTAATAGTCCCATATCAAAAGCTTTAATATGCAGATTATATTGAATTTCCTTGTGTGAATTTAGGATTATAGTGCCTATGACAGCAGAACCCATTAGTTTATCATAAATAACATCTCCCTTTGTTTCACAGGGTGAGTGGGGGGTAACAGCAGTGGAAGAGGAGGAAGAGAATAAACGGATTAAAGAATTTCAAGAATCAATACCAAAAATGTGTTCACAGCTGAGAATACTCACACATTTCTACCAGGTACCCTGCAGATTTGTACAATTTAACTGAAAAATTAACTTGCCACTTTCACATCTACTTTCACTTATTGTGGATCAAAACCAGCTACGGTGTTATTGATGCTTGTCTATTACTCTATATTCTGTTACTATTTGTTCTCGTTTTTAAAAAAAAAAAAAGGGGTGGTGGCTAATCCTCAGTACACAAATGTGAGCTCCACTGTAAGCATCAACTCCTAGAACAATTGATCATAGGGAGCTACTATTTACTACCAGTAGTTTACTCTGAGCATTGAGAGAGTGCTTGTTTGTATGACAATGTGTGATAGTCTCGTTAAATTTCATGTCTTGTTTACAAATGGATCTGGCGTTTCTTTTTTAAAAATTAATCTTAATCAATGTAATCCCATTTGCATTCCATGCATTTTATTTTTTGCAAATTAGGACAATTTCTATAAAATGATTAAATAGCTGCTCACTCACTAATTATTTCAACACCCCTAAACATTAGAAAAATTGCTATGTGAGGGCATGCAGAAACAACTACTGCAGAAAGACTGACAAGAAGTTCTCTGCTAAATCCCCCAAAGCTTCCGTGTGTGCTGGGCAGAGCTTCCCATGTGAAGTAGCACTGGGCTGCAACAGGTCAAGGAGGCACTTAGGACTTGAGCACAAGAAGGGGGAGGTGTTTGCTGCTCAGAAATGCACAGGGCATTTTTACATATGCTCTGGGAGGTATGTGGGAGGGTCTTTAATTAGCACCAATTAAAAGCACCCAAGCCTCGTGTATCAACATCCCCATGCTGAAAAATGGCTTTAGTTCAAAGTGCCCAGCCGCCACTTCGGTGCAGGGACGGTGTCACACATAACATTACAGTCTGCTGGAGCATGTTAATTCCCATGCTGCAGCAGACTCAAGTAATCGAGTCTGCTCTGACATGCTGGATTTCCAGCATGTTGAAGCAGGTTCCCTGCACGTTTATAGGAGCCCACAGTGGCTGTTATGCTCTAACTTGTGTGTTTGAGCCTGTAGCTATTTATATAAATGAGCTAAAATGCCTCAACTTTGACCCTGAATGAAGCAAGGATCATTAAGTGCGTGGGTGGGGGGAGGAGGAGAGGCTCTTTTTGCAGTCCTAGGCTGCTGGCACACATTATAGTCATGGTGTGATGACTGTTTATGGTGCCTTTAACTCATTAACAGTGCTACGTGTTCAGCCGATTGGTGTCATAAAGTGGCAAACCAGCCACAAAGGCATTCCATAAAACGTATGGAGTATCTTTGTGACTTGTTCTTATGGCATCCTGAATTGAATGTCATAAATTGAACACATAGCACCCCATGTCAATGTTGACAATCAGCTGATTGTCAGCATCCGCATGAGGATGGGGTTTGGCATTAGGACCAGGATAGTCCTGGTTCTTATACTAAACATTAGCTCCCAGGAGAACCCCATAATGGGGAGCCAAGGCAATCCAGCCACTGGGAACCTGGCAACCCTCATCCCAGCAGCTTTTCCCGCCTTGCCCTGCAGCCCCCCATTCCCTTGAGCCCACTGATTCTGGGCTGCAGGGCAAGGCATGTAAAATGCCACATTGAGGGGAGCTGGGCTGAACCTGCACTTTTTAAACATCCTAGGGCTTGGGGACCCAGGGATAGGGTGAGATTCCCTGATCCCAGGGTCCTAGTGTCCCAGGTATGTAAAAACTATGCATGCAGCTGGGCTATTCCCAGGTTGGGCTGACAAACAGTTGATTGTACCTTGTTTGGAAAGTTCTGCCCAGTGCAGATGAAGACTTTGGGAAACTTAGCAGAGAACTTCTAGCAAGTCCCCTACCCATCCCATGGACCCTTATTTGTTGAATATTATATAACATAGCCAAACCAGGGTAATTTGTCTGTACTCTAAAAAGTTGTCTTGGATTTTTTGTTTGTTTGTTTTACTTTCGGCTTTTTTAAAAATCTTATATGATGGGGTTTAGCTGCATGTAGCTGTAGGATTTATAGCTGGATTTCACAGAAGTGTAAAATTAGTTATCTGACTTGCAAATTCTTAAATAGTGTGCTTGCCCTTCCTTTAGTATGGTGGTGTGATTCAAATTCTTAATTTGTAGGGACATGTTCTAACAAATCTCCTTATTTTTCTCTCTTATTCAGGGCATTGTACAGCAGTTTTTGGTCTTGCTGACAACCAGTTCTGATGAAAGCCTTCGATTTCTTAGCTTTAGATTGGACTTCAATGAACATTATAAAGCAAGAGAACCAAGGCTTCGTATATCTTTGGGCACTAGAGGGAGACGCAGCTCACATATGTGAAGTACTTTTTAACAGCTATACCTGGATTTCTGAAGAATATTAACCCTGTTCTTGGACAAGGCAATCACTGTCTACGTACTAAAACCAAATGGCATGTGATAAGTGTCTACCATTTCTGCAAGCAATGTTTTCGGTTGTGATTATGTAGCACTATGGCAGAAAGCAAAAAAAAAAGCTTTTTTTTTTTTAACATTAATGTTTGTAATATTACAAAATTAAATGGGCTGGTTTAAACTGTTCCAGTTGATTTGTTAAATCATCCTTTTTAATGAATGTCATATTTTATTTGGGGCTTTTTAAGCTCTTTCCACTGTAACTTATATTATGTCCAGGAAACCACACCTTATTTTGTTTTAGAAGGCACTGTTTCCTTTTTTAACAAAAGAAGAGGGCGTTATTTTTTTCTATATATGTATTTGTCCTATTTGGAAATCACTTTTGTTAGGTCAGATTTGGATCCAGACCTAATGACCTTATTAAAAAATGTATAAAACACTTTATTATACTGATTTTCAGTGTTGTGATGTATTTGACTGTGTGAGAAACTTTGTATCCTGGTACATTAACTTGCATACATTTTTAAATTATTTTTCTCTTCAAAGTTAACATTTTCCAAAATTTGATTTATTATTCCAGGCAAACTGTAGAACAACGATACAAAAGGAAATTATAGAAACATAACAGGAGACACACATTACATAATAAAAATGTCCTAAAAATTGATGTTAAAGCCTCAGTACTGTCAAGTAAAGGAATGTGTAAATATGGATAGAAGTAAATGAAGTATTTTGTGTTCTAAATCTGATGTATTAGAAAGAAATTGACTTGGATAATGAGAACTACTTTATTTCTCCTTCCTGCCTATTTTTCCATTGTAAATATTTATATATTGTTGTCCAGATGTTAGGGGGAAATCTTTTTTGTAAAGATGTCATTATATCAAGTCATTTAAGTATCCATTTATGTTCCACAAGTACAAGCTTAGAAAAATAAAACACAATTATCTTTCAAATACTTTTGTTTACTTTTTTAGCAGAAAAGTAGCACTTTTTTGGAGAGGTTGGAAAAGGGGTCTTTTTTTAATTATCTATAACCACATTTCTTACACTAACATCAATGACCGTTACAGTTGTATAAACTTGCATAATGAACAGTTGCCGTAAGAGCTCAACACCCAACTCCATAGTGTAAGTTTAGCCACATCATCAAAGCACTAGAACAGAGCAAACCCCTCCCACATTGTTCCACTTCCTCCATTTTTCTGGGAGATAACTAACAAATAAGTAATAAATAACTAACACATACTAACAGTGCAGTGTTAGAATGACTGGATTAAGAGAAGTGAATACTATTGATAGAGAACACTCGGTCAACCCGGAGCTTTGGCCAGGTTAAAACATTGGAATTCAAGTTAAAAATTCATTCTACTTCATTGGCAGTGGTGATATCGTGCATCGTAGTCATCACCAGCCAAGAGAAGCATGGTACTAATCAAAGGTACCTTGGATGCTCAACTTCCAAAGAAGACAAAGTTTTAAAATATTGTTGGTTTTAATTCACAATATGAGCGTAGTTTAGCTGGAATAATGAGTTTCTTTATGAAATGGCACATCTGGCTGCAAGAGACAAGCAGTCAACAGGGAAACAATGGATTTATTCGGATGTGAACAACTTGAAACAATGTTGGACAGGATTTTGTGAATTCTATGCGAAGCAAAGAAGTGTTTGTGCCTCTTTCCTTCCCACCTGCAATATAATATGCCATACTATGAGTAGGGTGGGCTGAGTGTAAGATACTGTTCTCGCGCATCCTTTAAAATCTGTTTAGGTTAGGGTAGCCTCCAAGGTCAATCCACAGGGAAGGAAGCTGTGCCCTAACTAGTCTGCATAATTAACCTAGCCTTACAGAGACTTTCTTTGTAACCCCTATAATGTGAAGCCTCTATCTCCCCAAACCTGAAAGTTCTCTTTTTTTCTATTCTTAGAAGCATCACATTTTTTGTTGGTTTTTGTTGTTGTTGTTGTTTTTTTAATCCTCCCAAGTTTGGGAATTAAATTTAGTGTTGTGGTAATGAGTTCCATTAATTCAGGAGTGGGCAATTATTTGAGCTGGAAGGCCACTTAGTGAGTTTTGGTGAGCTGTTGAGGACTACATGCATGTGCATTTCCCACACACCTGAGCTCCCTGCAACTGGGCCAAGGGGTATCAGATTGGAAGCAGGAGTAGGTGGGAACATAAGCCCCTTTGGGGCTGCCGTGTCTTAGCTCTGCTTCTTTTCCCCAGCTTAGCTGATACTGGCAGGCAGGAAGGGAACTAGGCTGTGTTGTTCTAGAGTCAGGGCCATAGCACTCGCAGCCCTGTGGAGCCAGGCTGCAGGGGGGGAATGCCCTTGTCTCTTGGCCTCCCACTCACCCACCTGTCGTGCAGACCCCAGCTTGGGGTGTGGAAGTGGGGCTCAGTTCCTCCCCTTGCTCGCCCCTCCTGCTGGGCGATGCTGGGCAGGTAGGCAGGACTCTGGCCTCTGCTGACACCGTGGAGGATGCTGGACGGAAGCACCCCACCACCCTCCCACCTGGCACTGCAGGGTCAGACTCCCATCTCCTAGGCTGCTGCATAGTGCTAGAGCTGCCTCTGCACAGCATGCCCCCGCTGTGCCAGCAGAGACCAGAGCTGCCACCTGTGGGCCCACCAGTTGGTTCTCTCTAGCCCGTGGTGACTGGCTCTGGCTCTGGCTCTGGCCTCTGCTGGTGCTGTGGGCTGGATAGAATTAATTGGCAGCTGGATATGGCCTGTTGGCCATGTTTTGCCTACCCCTGCATTAACTAATTATGTGGTGCTGGTGAGAAGAAAATCAACATCCTGTTGTTTTAGCATCATTACATCGTACATCACACTGTACTTGTGGTGTTATGAAAAGAGGTTTTTTTGCTTGTTTCCCTGCATGTCAATTTTATCCTTAACACTTCCCATCCAGCTTGTATTCTCTTCATTCTACCAAACCTGCTTTCTCTAAACAAGGGTGCAGCAGGACTTTCTGTATTTATGTAAAAGTTCCAAGATACTTTGGCTTCATTAAAACAGATAGTCTCTTCTCTATACAGCCTTCTTCTCAGGCCCCCATGACTTATTCCATGCTTTCTTGGTGTTCCTTCTGTAGGTCCCTACAAGCATCTGAATGAACTGTGAGAAGTCTCATGGTTTTGTTCCCCCATGTAGGAAAACCTGGCAGGAGGGCACTGTGCAAAGGTTAGATGGACTGGGTGGGTGCCTCAGAGACAGCCCATGTTGCCAACAACTTGCAGCTAGGGGTACCTGTCCATATATCCAAGCACGTTCTGAAGCTCCCCTAGCTGCCAGAGAGTGCTGAGCGCAGCCAAGTGTATAGGGCAGACCCTATTGACTGGCTGGCTGTCCCTCTAGGGGAACTCATGCTCACAATCCTCGCTTCCTCCCTCCCTGCTGTGAGGTGATGAGAGACGAGACCCAGCATGTGTCCACTCTTGTTTGTTGCAGGTGTGTCAGTTTTACCCCAATAGCTTGCTATGGATCCCTGCAATGTGTCTGGGTCTCAGGGACAGAGGTATGTGTCTAGGTCTAGGTGAAAGGGATTGGGCTTTACTAATCACAAAGCAGTCAAGGGGAAGGGTTTTCTTCATGCTTAGCTGGATCAGCAAAGTCCAGGCTGAGTCAGAGACTTCTGAATCGTGAGGAAGTGGGGTGGGGAGCAGAGCACGCTCCCTTGAAGGAGTTTTAGTTTGCTGTGCCCCAAGTCATTTAAGGCGCATTACACTGCGAAATTTCCTACAGCGGCTGGAATTAGTGTGCAATACGCCGCTGAGGCATGCAAACACCAAAGCCATTAAAGCAGTGCAAAATCATTTAGCTCACTTTAAAGTATTGTGCACACACGCCTCTCATTTCATCTACACACAGCCCTAGTTATTCCGTGTCTGGTAGTGTTAGAGTGATGTTGTAGCCAGGGTAGTCCAGAGATTATGCGAGAGGCAAGGATTTCTTAGGGTGATAGCTTTTATTGGACCAACTACGTAGTTGGGATAGAGTTAGACAAGCTTTGGAATGCAAGACATTTTTCTTCATGACTTATTTCAGGTCTTGCAGGCAGGGCATTGAGACAGATTCAGGAAGCACATAAGTAGATGTTTAATGTTAATGGTTTGAGTAGTCCCCTAGATTAGTAAGTCTGTGCTCAAGTGATTTGCCCAAGGCCACGCAGAGTTGGGAATAGAACTCTTTCTTGAGTGTCAGTTCTGTGCATTAGCCACAGAATTATTCTTTCTTCCTCCAAATGTTCTTGGCTGCATCATTGTTTCACTGGTGTGATATAGAACAGGAAAAACAAAGGGTAGATTTGCACCTGATAAAGTAACTAAATCAGATATGCATAAGCTTTTGTAACTTACTTTGTCGGATGCTATGAAGGGATGGCAATTTGATTTAGATAGTCTGCCTGCTGGATCCCAGGTTGCTGCTCCTGCCACCTGGGACCCAGTGCTGGGGAACTCAGTCTGGCTGGGGGAAGCATCTCCTCCAGCTGGGCTGAGTTCCAGACGCTCACAGCACTGGGGAACTCAACAAGCCTGGGGGAAGTGCCTCCTCCATCCGGACTGAGTTCCCAGTCCCTCGCAGTGCTGGGGATCTCAGTCTGGCTGGGGGAAGTGCCTCCTCCAGCCGAGCTGAGTTCCCAGCCCCTCGCTGGGCGGTGGGAGAGAGCTGGCGCTGTGTTCCGATTGGCTCTGGCAGCCCCATGAAGCGCAGCCCAGTGGCAGGAGGTGGAGAGAGCCAGGGCTGCGCTCCCCACTGGGCTGAGCCACATGGAGCTGCTGGGAGCTCAGCCCTGGCTCTCCCCTGTCTCCCAACACCTGGATGGCTGCTTCAAAATTTGAAACATTTCAAAACTTTTGAAACATTTCAACTGCCCTTGTTTCATTTTGAGGCTGTTTTGAAGCCCTTCGCTTCATTTTGATTTTGCCGTTTTGAACTTGAAATGAGTCAAAACTGTCAAAATGAAACAGCTGGTGAAGCTTCGCACAGCCCTAACAGAACGTTGCTTGTAAAATGTAGAGAGGTACTGTAGAGAGCCTGGGGTAATCGGGTGGCAGGCAAGTTATATAATGTACTATAAATCCAATGTATATTGAGTCCATGATTTTTTGTATCTGGTAGATTGATGAAGTGAAGCTCATAGGCTTGTCTGCAAAAGGGGTTTTGTAAATTCCCTTTGAGGATTAGAACTGAGAGATTGGAGAGAGAGTGGTTGTTTTGGGAGAAATGTGCTCCAACAGGTAATTAGGTAGTTTTGTCTGTGATAGATTTTTGGTGTGCGTTTATTCTGGTACACAGTTGTTTGTTTCCTCCTACCAATGCATTTAGTGCACTGGATGAAATATATTACATTTCTGGAGGTGTAGGTGTAAGATCCAAGAATGGTGATGGTTCTTTTGTGGGGTGTAATTGCTGTGGGAGGGGTGGAGATATGTTGGCAGGTTTTACATTTCTTGTCCCAGCATGGTCTGGATCCATTCAGTGTGCTTTGGGCCATAGGGGGCGCGTCCAGACAAACCTTCACATGCCTCTTGCAGTGTCTCAAACCCCTTTGAGATGCTGCAAGAGGCACGTGCAGGAACACGAAAAGGTTCCCCCTGCTGCAAGTTTGCAGCACGGGGGCAAAATTAGACTCCTTGATATCCAGGGCTCTAAAAAAAAAACGGAGTTAAAAAAAAAGCGGGGCAGGGCACCATGAGGCAAACGGAGGCTAGGTCCTCCACAGAGATGCTCTGGCTGCCAGAGTGTCTCTGTGGTTGGTCCTTGCCCTGGAGCTAAAGCACGCCCATGCAGGGCAAGCAGTGTGCCAGCAGGAGGGCTCCAGTGCTGGTAAGTAAGGGGTTGCGGGGGCTGGAGGAGGGGGAAGGGGACTATGGGAGGGACCCCCTGGCCCTGCCCACTCTTGCAGCCCCCCATCCCTGTCCTGCCTGGCCCCATCCCCT